ATAAATAGACGCACATTTATATTTATTTTCACTAAACTTTGTGCAGAGCAAATGCATCAAAAGCAAGGTTTTGCAATAAACCAAAGTAAAGGTTGCATAGAAATGCATTTCCCGTTGGATGAGTTCAATGCCATTAAACTGCATTATTTGAGTCTAACACCAGACACAGGCCAACTTAAGCAGCTGAGGGGAGAAAGGAAAGGGCCTGAGGCTGTTAGGACTTGTGGGAGTTGAAGTCTAAAACACCTGGAGGGTCCAAGTTTGCCCATGCCTGGTCTACACGGACTATAGAATGCAGTTTCAAACCATATGTATAAAGAGAGAGAGAGAGAGAGAGAGAGAGAGAGTTTGCAAACATTAATGGATTTTGTATTTAGACTTGGGTCCCATTCCCAAGATATTGTATTACCAACGTAAGCAAATGCAGACATTCCAAAATCCAGGTACCCAAGCTTTTCTGGAACAGGAGAGACACCACTTTTTATAAGCCATTTCATGTTTACCGCTTGGCCTCAGAGAGCAAAAGAGCTCGGCTTCTGAAAGAGAACATTGGGCCCCAGAGGCAACAATATCACAGAAATTGAGAGATCCCTGCACCAGGAAGGAAAAGACGGAAGAACAGGGCAAAGTGTGTAAGACATTCAAGGCAAACAATACGCAAACGGGAAATAAAGCCCCCAATTTGGAGAAGTAGATAAAAAAAGATTGTGAGCCTCCTGGAGACAATGTAGAAACATCTTCTTCCCAAATACACCCAGGGATGGTTCTTTCCTAGAAATCTCAATACAACTGTGCCAAGTTTCCAAGGATGGCAGGAAGGGGGGATCAGTCCCAATTGGTTCTGCGACTCTTATGCAAAGAACACAAAAACACTGATTTTGTCATCTCCCCAAATGGGGCTGCAACTATTATGTGAGTGAGTGAGGATTGGAGAATGTGGAAGGGAGGGGAGGGGAGGGGAGGGGAGGGGAGGGGAGGGAGGGGAGGGAGGGGAGGGGAGGAGGGAGGGAGGGAGGGGAGGGGTGAGCAGTGAGAGAGACAGACATAAACACACACATTTGGGACCTAAAAACAGGCTGGATCTACACTGACCAAGCCAAGGAAGGAAATCAAGGAAAGGAAAGGGAAAGGGAAAGGGAAAGGGAAAGGGAAAGGGAAAGGGAAAGGGAAAGGGAAAGGGAAAGGGAAAGGGAAAGGGAAAGGGAAAGGGAAAGGGAAAGGGAAAGGGAAAGGGAAAGGGAAAGATAAAGCCAAAGCAAAGCAAAGCAAAGCAAAGCAAAGCAAAGCAAGGGAAGGGAAGGGAAGGGAAGGGAAGGGAAGGGAAGGGAAGGGAAGGGAAGGGAAGGGAAGGGGGAAGGGAAGGGAAGGGAAGGGAAGGGAAGGGAAGGGAAGGGAAGGGAAGAGGGAAGGGAAGGGAAGGGAAGGGAGGAGAATCAGCCTCAACTGGCACTGTGACTCTTATGTGAGGAACACAAAACACTGATTTTGTCATCTCCCCAAATGGGGCTGCAACTATTACGTGAGTGAGGGAGGATGGGAGGGAGGGGAATCAGCCTCAACTGGCTCTGTTACGCTTATGCGAGGAACACAAAAACACTGATCTTGTCATCTCTCCAAATGGGGCAACGACTATTATGAGAGTGAGGGAAGGAAGGGGAATCAGCCTCAACTGGCTCTGCGACTCTTATGTGAGGAACACAGAACACCACTCTTGTCATCCTCCCAAAATTATTATACCAATAATAATAGTAACAATAATAGAAGTTGATGCCATGGATAGAAGCCAATCAGGAAGACATTTGAAGAGTGGTTAGGAAAGAGAAATATACCAATAATAATAATAAGAAGAAGAAGAAGAAGAAGAATTTGATGCCAGGGATAGGCTCCAATCAGGGAAATTTCAAGAGCCAAATGGAAAGAGAAAGATGCCAATAAAAACTACAACAGCAATGGAATTTGATGCCATGGATAGAAGCCAATCAGGGAGATATCTCAACAACTGTTCAGAAAGAGAAAGATAATAATAATGATAATAATGCAATACAGTACTAGCAATATATTAATAATTGTAATGTACATGCTCACTTTGAATTCTGTAAGCCACCTTGATGGGAGAAAGGAGCAGAGGGCAAAAAAGGTGAACGAAGCCAGGCCTAAAGCTTCAGAGACACAAACAGACACAAAGAAGCAAAAGAGGAGGGCAAGGTGCCCACTTCCTGCCAGCGCTTTGGCTTCTCGGTCGCAGCCTCTTGCCAGCCGTCTGACACTTTGCAGACAGAAAGAAAGATTTTGAAGATGCCAAGGGAGAATGGGCAAGTGGCATGAGAGCACAGAGAGCTCCCAAAATCCAGGCTTTCAGGTAAAAACTCTAAGCCATTTGATAGCAATAATGAAGACGACCTCCTTTTCCCAGGCAAGGCCTGAAAGACTTCTTGGTTTCAGCATAGATGGGTTCCAAATCAAAGCTGCACCAAACCATACAGGATAGAGTCAAGATCCTGGCTGGCCAAAGTAGCTTCAAACTGATGTCAAGCTGCATCCATCCAAACCAGTTTGAAAACGTCCCTTATCCAGAATAGAAAAAAAGGATCTTGGTCAGCCAAATCCTGGCCTCTGACTGGTTGCATCCCTGCATCCAAACAAACACAGACAAACCAGTGCCAAATTGGCATGGATGACCCCCTTGCAAGGCATCAAACTGGTTCCAAACCAACGCTGCACCCAATTGATCCTGGAATCAGAGACAAGGACCTGGGCTGCATCTACAGTGCAGAATTAATGCAGTTTGGCACCACTTTAACTGCCTTGGCTCAATGCCAAAAGGTGTAGCTCAATGAGGCATCAGTACTCTTTGGCAGAGAAGGCCTTACAAAACAACAACTCCCAGAACTTCATAGCATTGAGCCATTGCAGTTCAAGTAATGTCAAACTGCCAGTAACAAAATTATTATTATTATTATTATTATTATTATTAGTAGTAGTAGTAGTAGTAGTATTCATTATTATTTCCACAGTGTAGGTGCAGCCATGGTTGGCCAAAGTAGCCTCAGGTTGCTTGCAACCCAGCATGCAACACAAGCAACAGAGTGAGAGACTAATCCAGAATAGAAACTGATCCAGAATAGCAGCTTTGAGTCTTCATTTTGCAGAGAAAAAGCAGAGTATAAATAAACAAAGAAGAGGAGGAATCATAGAATCATAGAGTTGGAAGAGACCTCGTGGGCCATCCAGTCCAACCCCTTGCCAAGAAGAAGGAAAATTGCATTCAAGCACTCCTGGCAGATGGCCATTCAGCCTATCCACTTTGGAGGAGAAAGAGAGAGAAACAACAGGGTCCTTGTTGGCCAAACTGGCCTCAGACTGGTTGCATTCCAGATTCCAAACCACTACTAAAGTGTCACTGATTGGCCAAAGTAGCCTCAGACTGGTTTCACTCCTGAATCCCATCACAGCCAAACCAGTGCCAAACTGGCACAGATGTTCAATTGCAAAGCAGTTCTAGGATTGATCCCTGCACAGAAAGATAAGACCCTCTGAAAGGGTGGTTTGAGGCGGGGTTCGGGGTCCCCTGCATCTTGTCCAGGTGGACACAGTCCCTCCGCATCCCAAGAGGTGGGCTATGCGGATTGGCAAGTAGTGGCCAAATGCCTTCCACGGTGCCATTCAAGCAGACATGCCTGCCCGCATCCGGCCATATTGGAGCCCCATTAATAGCAGGAAACCCCCTCCCTCCCTACTCCTTTCCTCCCTTCCCACCTTTAGCAGAAGGGAAAACCCCCAGAGGAGGAAGAAATCCTTCCTGTCAGGAATCTGTGCAGTTTATGACATCCACCCATCCGACTCCTTACTAATAGCGAGACTGGAAGGGATCAGGAAGCCTGGGAAAGGGAGGGGGCAGCCTAAAAAAGCTCCTCTTAATGGGGTCTTAGGGAGGGGCCCAGGGATGAAGGAGAGAGAGAGACCTCACTGCTTGTTTGCAGTGGGAAGAGGAGAGCCTTTACGCACCTGTGTGTGTGTGTGTGTGTGTATATATATATATATGCATGCATGTGTGTATATATGTGTATGTATGCATATTATGTATATATGTATGCATATGTGTGTATGAGTGTATATATGTGTATGTATGGGTGTGTGTTTTTGCATGCTGTGTGTGTGTGTATATATACACACATACATGTTTGTATGTATGTGTGTATATATATTTGTATATGTATGTCTGTTAAATATATGCATGTGTATATATATTTGTGTATATATATATATTTGCATATATGTGTATGCTATATGTCTGTGTGTATATATTTACATGTGTATGTTGTGTATGCATGTGTACACACACACAAACACACATATATGCATGTGTGCATATATATATATATGCATATGTGTATGCTATATGTATGTAATATGTATGCGTGTGTATATATTTGCATATGTGTACATTATGTGTACATGTGTATATAATATATTTGCATATCTGTATGTTATGTATATGTGTGTGTATATGTGTGTGTTATGTGTATGTCTGTATATTTGTGTGAATGTGTCTATATTTGCATATGTGTATGTTATGTGTGTATATATATGCATATGTGTGTATGCTATATGTATATGATATGTATGCATGTGTGTATATATTTGCATATGTGTGTACTTCATGTGTATGTGTATATAATATATTTGCATATCTGTACGTTATGTGTATGTATGTGTGTGTGTATATATTTGAATATGTGTGTGTGTATGTGTGCCTGTGTGTGCCTGCACTTGGCACCCCCAAAAGGAGGCATTTCCTCTGATGTTTCCCCTTTTCTTTCCACCTCCATTCCCCCTTTGAGTTCCCCTTCCCTCCCTCCCTTGATGGAGACCGAAAAGCGCCGGGCATCTCCTGCCCAAAGGATGCGCCCCGAGCGTCTCTTCCGTTGCTCCCTTCCCCATTAAAAAAAAACCCAGAAACCCCCCACCCCAACTCCCCCTAAAATAGGGGGGTCACTCACTGGCTTTGCCCGGCTTGGGCCTCTGCAGCAGCTTCTGGACGGCGCCCACGTCCTCCGCCTTGACCGCCTGCATCAGCTCCTGGTCTTTGCCCATGGCGCGCGGAGAGGAAGGGAGGAAGGAAGGGAGGAAAGGAGCAAAGGAGGAGGAAGAAGGGAGGGAGGGAGGGAGGGAGGGAGGAAGAGGGGGCTCCTGTGGGGGGGGGGGAGACGCAGCAGGGGGTCCCGCCTTCCTCCTCCCCGAGGATCGGGGCCCGGGTCTTCCGGGGAGGAGGAGGAAGGAGAGAAGAAGGAGAGAAGAAGGAGAGAGGCGAGGAAGAGGGAGGCGCTGGCTGCAGCGGTGCGCAATGGAGAGAGGCAGGCAGCAGGCAGGAGGCAGGAGGCAGGCGCGCGTCCAGGGCGCACGGGGATGGCGAGGGGGGCTCGGGCGGCGAGAGGGGGGCTCCCAGGCCTCGCAAGCCTCGGCAGCTTCAGCAGGAGCAGCAGCAGCAGCAGCCCCTCCTCCGCCTCCGCCTCGCCTTCGTCCTCCTCCGGCTCTGCGGCGGCCAAAGGAGCAGCCACCGCCGCCGCGCCATGGCCCCGAAGCGCGACGAAAGAGCGGCGGGGATGCGCCCCGCACACAACGCCTCCTCTTCGCCGCCTCTGCCCTCGCCTCTCCGACCGCGGAGCCGCCGGGGGAGGGTCCGGCCAGGGAGGGGGAACCCCCCGCTTCCGTTTGCGGGGCCAAGCAGGCGGAGGGCCCCCCGGGACACGCCGCGAGGGCCGCCTCTGCAAGGTCCCCCTGGCCCTTTCCAAACGCAGCCGCCGAGGCGCCTTCGCCGCGCCTTCGCCTCCACTCCCCACGCAGCCAGCCGGGGTGGGTTGGGTTCCTCTCAGAGCCGCAAGCCAGAGGGTCTCTGAGCGCGTGCAGAGGGCCTCCTCCGGGTTCGCCACGAAAGCTCTTCTTGCTCTTGGGATTGGTTTTTCTTTCTCTCTGGTCTGGGTTTTGGAGCTGTCTGGCACCGGTTTTGAATTGCTTTCCGGCAAAAGGGTTTGTAGCTATGCCTTCCTGCTTCCTTCCTTTCTTTCCTCTCTCTTTTTTCTTTCTTCCCAACTGCACACAAGAGGGTCTCTGTGCGCGTGCAGAGGGCCTTCGGTTTCACCAGCAAGGCTCTTGCTCACCTCCTGGGTGTTTGCTTTTTCCTTTCTGGTTTGGGTTTGGAGCCGTTCAGGCACCACCTTTGAACTGCTTTCCAACAAAAGGGTTTTTAAGCTATACATTGTTTCTTTCTTTTCTTTCTCCCTTTTTCTGTCTTCCCAACTGCACACAAGAGGGTCTCGGAGTGTGTGCAGAGGGCCTTCAGGTTTACCAGGAAATTTCTTGCTCACCACCTGGATGTTTGTTTTTTCCTCTCTGGTTTGGGTTTTGGAGCTGTTCTGGCATTCCAACAAAAGAGTTTTTAGTTGTAGATTCTTGGTTTCTTTCTTTTCTCTCTTTTTCTTTCTTCCCATTTACACACAAGAGGGTCTCTGAGCACGTGTAGAGGGCCTGGGTTTCACCACAAAGACACTTCTTGCTCTTGGGTGTCTGTTTTTTAATCTCTTGCTTGAGTTTTGATTTTGGAGCTTTGAAGGGCTTTCCCACAAAAGGGTTTTCAGTTATACATTCTTGGTTTCTTTCTTTCTTTTCTCTTTCTTTCTCTCACCTGCACACAAAAGGGTCTCTGAGCACGTGCAGAGGGCCCGTGGTCCCACTCCAGCCCTATCTCTTGGAGCCACTTTCCTCCATGGTTTTGGAGCTGTTCTGCAGCAAGGCACACAGGTTTTTATCAGTGGGCTGTTGGGTCTTTTTCTTTCTCTCAGCTTTCCTTCCCCCAAACCTGCACCTAAGAGAGTCTCTGAGCACATGCAGAGGGCCTGCGGGTTCATCACGAAGGCTTTCTTGCTCTTGAGTTCTTGTTTTTTGTCTCTTGTTTGGCACCAGCTTTGAAGGGCTTTCCAACAAAAAGGTTTTTATCTGCACATGGTTGCTTTCTTTCTTCTCTCTCTCTTTCTCTCCAACTGCACACAAGATGGTCTCTGAGCATGTGAAGAGGGCCTGCAGTTCACTTCCTGCTCTTGCTCACCTCCTGGGTGTTTGATTTTTCTCTCTGCTTTGGGTTTTGGAGATGCTCTGACACCGGCTTTGAAGGGTTTTTAGATGTGGATTGTTGGTTTCTTTCTTTTCTCTATTTCTTCCAGCTTGCACACAAGAGGGTCTCTGAGTGCGTGCAGATGGCCCACTTCAGCCCTCTCTTTGACAGTCCATGGTTTTGGTTTGGGAACTGTTCTGTGGGAAATTCTCCCCAAAAGGACCCTCTTCATTGTGGGCTATTGGGGCTTTCTTTTCTTTCTCCCAGCTTTCCTTCTCCCAAAACTGTACACAAGACGGTCTCAGAGCATGTGCAGAAGGCCTGCTGCCCCACTCCACCCTGTCTCTTGGAACCACCTTCAGAGATATGATTTCCTCCCTTGTATTGGAGCTGTTCTGCGACAGGGAACCAAAGTTTTTATCTGTAGGTTGTTGGGCCTATTTCCTTTTCTTTCTCTTGGCTTCCCTTCTCCCAAACCTGCACACAAGGGGGTCTCTGGGTGCATGTCGATGGCCTATGGTCCCATTCCAGCTCTGTCTCTTGTAATGCATGGTTTGGGAGCTGTTCTCTGGAAAGTTCTCCGCAAAAGCATCGGCTTTTCCTTGTGGATTGTTGGGTCTTTTTCTTCTCTTTTCTCTCTGATTTCCTTCTTCCAAACCTGCACCTAAGCAGGTCTCTGAGCTCGCGCAGAGCAGCCTCCACTTTAGCCCAAGTCCACCTTTGGAGTGTTTCCTTCATGGTTTTGGAGTTCTTTTGCAAAAAATAAAAATGTTCCCAAAAGGGACTGTCTTTGGAATTCTTTCAACAGAGGTTATCCATTCTGGGTTGTTGGGTCTGTCCTTCTTTTTCCTTCCTTCCTTCCTTCCTTCCTTCCTTCCTTTTTTTCCCTTCTTTCTCTTTCTTTCTTTCTTTCTTTCTTTCTTTCTTTCTTTTCAAACCTGCACTTAAGATGAACTCAGAGCATGTGCAGACAGCCTCCAGTTCTGGCCATGTCCACTTTCATAGTACTTCCTCCATCAGTTTGAAGGATGCTCTGCAGAAATTTATCCCAAAGGGCTTGAGTTCTGAGGCTGGGGTCCTTTCCAAATCCATGTGGGTTGAGGAAAGGGGTCAAAGGTCAAGGCGAAAGGCCTAATGCAAGTTCCTTAAAGGCACAGCCTTCTCCTTCTACAACAGTACATTTGTATATGGAAAGGAAGAGGGAGGCACAGTGTCTGGTGCCAACATTTATTAGAATGGGAGCCCGTCTCTCACCAGGAGAGCCTTTTAGTCTCGGAAAAACACAACCGTGCTACCTACCGCCCTTTGCTGGCATCGAACAAGACGGCTGAGCTGTGAGGATTGGGAAAAGTGCCTGAGCGTTTTGTGTGTGCTTTAGGTCCAGAACACAAAGCTGGAAGGAGATTATGCCCATTTCATTTACTTGGAAGACAGAGGCTACCTAATGGCTGAACTATCAAGGCTGCTCTTTCTTCTGAAATATGTTTCCAAGATGCAAAGGGATATCCAGTGAGGGAAGACTTCTCGCTTTCTCCTTGTCTTGATTTGGGGAAAGTGCTTGGCATTCAAATTCTCTACAACTTTGGCCCTCCAGATGTTTTAGACTCCAACTCCCACAATTCCTAACAGCCTCAGGCCCCTTCTTTTTTTTCTTTTTCCACTTAAGTGGCTGAGGGGGGAAAGGAAGGGGCCTGAGGCTGTTAGGAATTGTGGGAGTTGAAGTCCAAAACACCTGGAGGGCCCAAGTTTGCCCATGCCTGCTCTACAATATATAGACAGAGTGGAAATTGCCAAGGCAGAGGGAGGAAGGCTGAAATAACGATGATGGCCTGCACCTGAGAACTGGCTACAGCTGAGCTCCATCTAAAAATAAAAAGCTCTCTCTCACCCACATAAAGGCCCAGTATGCAGTTGCTGGCCCTTTTGCTTTTCGACCCAGTGGGCATAGCTTGCAAATCTGGGGACCACTTTCCAGGTCAAGGGACTAAAAGGATTCATCTGAAAGAAATGAACGGGACTTAGCAGACCTTTTAATGTGCACAACATACAGAAAGTAACTAAATAGACAAGGAGCAAATGGGGAGAGTCCCTTCACAAACTGAGTTAATGATGATGATGATGATGATGATGATGATGATGCTCCATTGCTTCCCCTTAGGTTGATACAATAAATAAATATACTATTATTAGGTTGATACAATAAATAAATATATTATTATCCTTCTATTATTATTATTACTCCAGGCTTTTTCTCTACCAAAGGTGACTTGAAACAAATAACACTAAAAACTATAACAATGCCTAAATTAAAACCTAACGCCTATAAACATTGAAATTGATTTTCTAGACCTAAGTGCGGCTGACAGTGTAGCCTCTGAGCATAGGCAGAGAGATTCACAGCAAAGGACGCTAAAAGGAATCACATTATCATCCTCATCATCATCATTCTGCAAGTCGCTTCTGGTTGGATGCTAGAAAATAATATCATACGAAAGCTGACTGGCACAACCTAGGGATCATAACCAGACACAGTGAAGAGACATCTGCCCTTGTGCTTTGCTACTATGCTGCTGAACACACATGCCCAGTGTGGAATACATCTCACCACATTAAAACAGCAGATATATGAAACATGTTGCACTATCACAGGATGTCTATGCCCAACACCACTGAAGAAATTATACTGTTTAGCTGGTATTGCAACACTTGACATCCTTCGAGAAGTAGCAGCCTATAATGAAAGGACCAAGGCAGTGACATCTCTGGCCCATCCCCTGTTCGGATATCAGCCAGCAAGCCAATGCCTTAAATCAAAAAATAGTTTTCGAAGATCTAGAGAGATACTCATCAGAACACCTCAGCGAGAGTCCAAAAGTGGCAGGCTAAAACCTAAAACCTCAAGCTATGGCTAATACTGAATGAGAGACTCTCCCTTGGGCACACAGAAGACTGGGAGACTTGGAAGGCGTTTAACAGACTGCGCTCTGGCACCACGAGATGCAGAGCCAACCTTAAGAAATGGGGCCACAAAGTGGAGTCCACGACATGCGAGCGTGGAGAAGAGTAAACCGCAGACCACCTACTACAAAGCAGCCTGAGCCCTGCCACATGCACAATGGAGGACCTTCTTATAGCAATACCAGAGGTACTCCAAGTGGCCAGCTACTGGTCAAAGGACATTTAGTATAATGCCAAGTTTTTAAACTTTGTGTTTTTACATACATTACAACTGTGCCCTTGGTTCACTTCTGACACGATAAAGAAATACATCACTATCATTATTGTATTACTATCACCATATTATTGTTGTTATTGTTCTTAGTATCCTGCTTCTTCTCTCCTCTGAGCATAGGCCAAGAGATTCACAGCAAAGGAGGCTAAAAGGCATTGTATCATCATCATCATCATCATCATCATCATCATCATCATCATCATCGTATTACTATCACATATTATTGTTGTTATTGTTCTTATTATCCCGCTTTGTCTCTCCTTTGAGCATAGGCAGAGAGATGCACAGCAATGGGGGCTAAAGGGCATTATCATCATCATCATCACCACCATATTATTGCTATGATCTTCCCGCTTCTTCTCTCCCAAAGGAGACCTAAAGCGGCTAACACTAAAAAAAAAACCTGTTAAACTACATAAAACAGCACTGTCTGGCTGGATGTATCCTTGGTGCTGCACCAAGGTGCCTCTGAGCATGTGCAGAGAGCATTTTGGATGTGCCTGATCTGGATGAAGAAGAGGATCTCAGAAGTTAACAGCCAACTTGGTGGCAAATAATAACTATTAATTAATAACTATTAATGATACGGATGATCCCAATGGTTACAGCGTATTTTAGGTCCTTTTCCTGTTACCATGCCGTGCTTTTGGAGTCATGTTGCATCTGTGTGTTTGTCTCCCTTTTTGTGCATCGTAACACACTATAACACATTTCCAAAAGAGCATCAAGGATACATAGAACTCCAAAAAGAGCTGTTTACATTGATACTGGTTGGATTTGTGGCTCTGAAAGATTGATCCGTATTAAGGGCTCCCATTTAGCCTCTTTGTCATTACCTTTCTGGATGCGGCACTATTATCGTTTCTCATCTCGAAAAGGTCGCACTTAGATGATAAGATGCTTATGGCGAGATTATCACCGCCATTGTATATTGCTAACGCAAGGCCAAAAAGAACCTTTTTGCTTCTTGGTTGTTTGTTTCCTCGAGCTGGAAGGGTTTCATCCCTGGCCGTGAAAGGGTGCTGCCTCCATAAATATAAATACACACATAAATATTTATTGTTATGTATTTATAGACTGCTTTTTGGCCCAAGGAGATGCACTGTTTAATACAGCCATGCCATCGTGCGAGGAACTCGGCAATAAAACCAATGCAAAATTATTAAAAAACCATCAGCAGAAATAAGGAATGTCCAGTAAAATCAGGCAGCAAAGTCTATGTGAAATGAGACAATTCGACCACTTTCTGCGAGGATTTATGAAGCGGATGCAGAAAAGGCCCTCCTTTTGTTGGAGATAAAACACGTTTTAATTTCACGGCGTGAAAATAGTAAGATGCACTTTCCCCATAATAAAAGTGAAAATATGAATGCGTGTAAGTGGCTGGGTTGCCCACTTAACAGACAAGCTTCAGCCTCCACAAACAGCTATAGCTCCCATTACTCAGGAGACATCAATGGCTTTCAAATGGGGACAATTCCATCTGAGAATTTATGTGTTTCATCCACCATAGGCATCCCAGTGTTTCTTACTCTCTCCACTGGTGTGGAATTTGCATGACTCCACCCACTGCCTCTCCCTTAACCCTTTCCTATTCTTTTCTATGGCACACAGAAAATAGAGGAATTGATCAGCAACTAGAGCAGGGGTCCTTAAACTAAGGCCCCGGGGGCCGGATGCGGCCCTCCAAGGTCATTTACCCGACCCTTGCTCAGGCTCAACCTAAGTCTGAAACGACTTGAAAGCACACAACAATAATCCTACCTCATCAGCCAAAAGCAGGCCCACACTTCCCATTGAAATACTAATAAGCTTATGTTTATTAATTATTGTGTTGTTTTAAAATGTTTTTTGTATTACAAATAAGATATGTGTCATGTGCATAGGAATTCATTAATGTTTTTTCAAATTATAATCTGGCCCTCCAACAGTTTGAGGGACTGTGACCTGGCCATCTGTTTAAAAAGTTTGTGGACCCATGAACTAGACATACTAGAGAGGTTTGCTGAGAATTCACCATGATTTATAGGTGTTGTAGGCACTGGGATGTATAGTTCACCTGCAATCTATGAGCACTCTGAGCTCCACCAATGATGGACATGGAACTGACTTTGCACACAGAACCAACAAAAAATACTGGAGGTCTTTGGGGAAAATTCATGTTGATTTGGGGGAGTTGTAGTTCACCTACATCCAGAGAACATTATGAATCCCAACACTGATGGACTTGGACCAAACTTGGCACACATACCTGATATGCCAAAATTTGATTGCTGGATGGGTTTGAGGGGAACTGATCTTCCTTTCTGCGAGTTGTAGTTCACCCACAACCAGAGAAACTGATCTCCACCAGTGATTGACCTGGACCAAACTTGGCACACAGAATCTGCATGGCTAGCTCAACCTACAGGAAGGATTTGAGGGGACTGAGTCACCATAGTGGGAGTTGTAGTTTACCCTACAGCTAGAGAACACACTGAATCTCACTGATGATGCATTTAGAGCAAACTTGCCCAATATAATAAACTTTAAGTACTGATTGAGTTTTGGGGGGTTAATCTGGCATGATGTGTGTTGCAGTTCATCCACAACCTTATGCAATGTGAACAGTTTTAAAAAATGACTTTTTCAAATAAGGTCGGGCAATGCCGGGTACCCAAGCCAGTAACATAATATAAAGCATACCAGACTGGATAAACATTGCCATATAATCTTTGAAACTACATTATATGGTCAATGAAGACCAATATAATGCAGTTCAATACAGTACAGACCCATATAATAGTTTGAACTGCCCTGCATTGCATCATGCAAGTCTACACTGACCATATAATGCGATTTTGAACCTTATAGCTTTAAAATTGAAGAAACGAACTTGGAATGAGGATCGGAAACAAGCAAGAGATGAGAAATGACACATTAGTGGTCTGTGAGCTAAGCAGGGGCTGGATGGCCATCTGTTGGGAGGGATTGGATGGTGCCTTCCTGCCTGGCAGAATTGGGTTGGACTAGAATAGAAGGTTGGCTGCTGTCTTCACCTTGTTGCCCTGTTTTTTACTCGTGTTCTATTTTGAAATGGTCATACGACTGATCAAATAAATAAATAAAATATTATATCAGGGTTGGACTAGATGGCCTTTGGGGATCCCTCCCAACTCTGGAATCCTGTTTTTATTAGATTTATGAGCCACTCATTTGCCTTAATGCAGCAGGTTCAAGGGTCTGGTTTTTGAAGTGGTTTTGGAGGTTGTCCACTTTGTGCTCCAATTGCATTGCATTGTGTCCAGAGACTAGGAGAGAATAGGCCTATGATCCATTGACGCCCGATGGCCGCTGTCTGCCAGACCTTAATCCCAAGGGCTCTGGGTTTATTAGGGAACAAGTGGGAGCTTAAGGGGCTTCCGGAGGGGGGTGCCTGCTCAGCAATCCCACACTGCGCTGTGCACTATTCCTGGTGAAAACACGAGACTCACAACAGTCCCTTCAATTCTTCTTACCAAAGTACATTGGGAAGTCTAGTTGTGGGCAAATTAAACTGTGGTATTTGTAATATAGCAATCCAGTGCAGCCTCCTTCCTTCTCTGGAAAGTTTTAAAGTAGAGCCTGAGTGGCCATCTGTCAGGAGGGTTTGATTGTGCCTTCCTTAAGGGCAGAATAGGATTGTACTAGATGGACCTCTTCCAACTCTAATGGAATACAATGCAGCCTTGAAATCCAATGGAGTCTCCTTTGGAAGTTTTTAAGCAGAGGCTGGATGGCCACCTGTTGGGAGGGTTTGGATGGTATCTTCCTTAATAGGTTCAGGCCGGAGAGTCCAGAGTGTGCTCTGTGCATGCTCAGAGGACCAGGAATCCTCAAGGCAAGGCCTAGTGGGCCATTCCTCACCATTGGACTTTTGCTGTCAGATAGATATTATTGGAGGCCATTCCTTACCTCGATGGGGATATTGGGAATTGGAGTCCAAGAGGGTGAAAAGACACATTGCGGAAATGTTTTATAGCTTTGTAGGTGAAAACAAGAAAAGACTTATTGAGAAGGAGACACAAAGGGCCAAATCCTGGCACCAAATTCAGAACTTTAGGGCAAACTTTGGAAAAGCAAGCCAGATTCCAGTCCTGGTATGTTCAGCACCCCAGATAGCGCATTTCATGTTGGAACTAAAACCCGGAGCGGATGCACCACTGTCCAGTTGCTAACGTCAGCTTTTATAAATATAGCTTCTTGATCTTGGAGAATCCCTGGAGTGGATTCAATATGCTGGAATGGAAGCCACCAGCTGTCATTAATTTATATTAATGGCTGACCTTTGGAGAGAGAGGCAGAGGATATACTTCCCTTGGCCCTGTCGCCCACAAGTGGCCGCTTTTGTTATTGCTGCTTTCGAATATTTATTGATTTGCATTATTTTTTGTCCTGCCTTTCTCCTGACTCAAGGACTCTCACAATAACTTTGAAAAACATCTTCTGGGGAGTTTCTAATTTTTTTTCACTCACACACACATATTGGCCACTAACCTGCTTCAGGGATTCTGGAGGTTGCAATCCATCCGAATGAGCTTTTTCAGCAGCAAGCCCTTCATTTCAGTAGGGTTTGCTATTTATCCAGAGTTTTGTCTATCCACGCATGACAAAATATGCCCCCTCTACCCACTTTCTAGGTCCTCAATAGGGTTTTCCATTATCCCCATTTTCATGTTTCTGCACAAATTGGGGCCTTGCAATGTATTTCTGGAATAAACATCAGAGCTCAAAAAGATGAGTGCCAAAGAAACACCATCTGTGGAAATTTCCTGTCTCCATCCCATGGCCCAGACGGCAGACCCCTTCTTCTTTATAAAAAATACTTTTTATTATTATTATTAATATCATCATCCACATCACAGAAGCCACCTGTCCTGTACAATGAAGAAGAACAACGACTCAAGGACATCCCCACCCCTAAGGAGACCCCAAAGAAGCAACGTAACTTTAGAAGCTGTGCCCAACCAAAACATGTTGGGAATCTGAGCGAACTGGGAGGTGGAGTGGCAGCTGCCAATCACTCTCACCCATCAAAACAGGAAGGGAAGTGACAGCTGTCAATTAGTGTCACCCATCAAAACAGGAAGTGGAATGGCAGCTGTTAATTGCCAACATTCATCAAAACAGGAACTGGAGTGAGAACTGTTAATCACTATCAACCATCAAAACAGGAAGGGGCGTGACAACTACCCATTTCTGTCATCCATCAGAACAGGAAGAAGAGTGATGGCTGTCAATCACCATCATCCCATCAAAAAGGAAGAGTGACAGCTGCCAATCACCATAATCCATTAAAGTATAGGGAGTGACAGCTATAACCAGCTTCCATTAAACAGGAACTGGAGTGAGAGCTGTCAATCACCATCAATCATCAAAACAGGAAGGAGAGTGACAAGTGTCCATCTCTGTCATCCATCAGAACAGGAAGAAGAGTGATGGCTGTCAATCACCATCATCCCATCAAAACAGAAAGGATGGCAGCTGTCAATCACCATAATCCATCAAAGTACAGGGAGTGACAGCTATCACCAGCATCCCTCAAAACAGGAAGAGGTGTGATAGCTGTCAATCACCCCATCAAAACAGGAAGAGTAACAGCTGTCAATCACCATCACTCCAACATCAAGAGGATACCATCCACAACGATGGAGAAATTTGTGGTAATAAGTCAATGGTGGTGACAAGGAAAGAAGAAAGTGGCTTGTGGTTTCCCCATCGAAGGACAGAGGAAGTGCCCTCACCATCAAACTGCCCCCAAAAGCGAGTGGGATTGAGCTCAGTCCTGGCTGGATTCCCACCAGAGGGACAGCTGGGCTCAGGGGAACCTGGAGGTGCCTCCACTGATCCATTGGGAAGCCCCCCTTGCAGCCCCCAAACAGAAGCAGAGAAGGGAGCTGCCCACCCATCTTGGGACCCCTGCCTCAGGGGGCCTTGGGCCGGGCACTGAGGCGGAGTGTCTCCTTCAAGTCCCGGACAAACTCTCTCAAGCGGTCCAGGTGTGGGTTGACGTTCTCCTCCATCCACTCCTCCACCGTGTCCGGGAAGAAGGCCGCCTCCATCTGCGAGCGCAGTGCCTGCACCAGCCCCTCCCAGTCCTCATGGACCCTAGGATTGGGAAATAGGAGAGAGAGGCCAAGGGCCACAGTCCAAGGTGAGCGACCGGTCAGGGAATGCCCTCTTCGCCCCCAAGGCTTTCCTCCCAAAGTAGAAAAGGCCTGCTAGCCAAACGTGGCCCATGGGGCACAGTTAACCTCTATAGAGTTACATGGGTTTAATGTTCATGGGTTTGAATAATATGTTATCTCTAGGTTTTCCTAAAACAGGCATGGGCAAACTTTGGCCCTTCAGGTGTTTCGGACTTCAACTCCTACAATTCCTAACAGCCTGTTGAGACTCTATTCAGTGGAAAACTAGAGCTAAATATGCTGCAGGATGTCCCTCCCACAAATACAAAGTTTTTTGCAGGGAGAGACATCCATGTTTTCATGATGGAATTCATTAGGAAATGACATTTATAACCCAGGAACAAAAACTGTGTTACACAGCGATTTGATGCACCTTAAAGATCAAGAGCCACTGAGTCCCAAACTCCAAAAAGACATGGAAAAAGGGCCAGTTTGCAAAGCACCTCTTAGCAAATCGCTAACCTCATTCACCGCATCCCTTTGAGCACAAAATGAGCACGAAGTTGCACCCCGAACAAAGAAAGTGGGCTGCAAAATGTCTTGGAGAAACATTGCAGCAACAATGCATCTTTTGCATTTTTGCAGCCATTTTGAGCTTAAACCCTGGAAACCCCGGGAGGACGTGACCCCACATGACCTTGCTTGACTCGGACTCACTTGAGGACTTTGCTGCCGAAGGCCTCCAGGTTGCGAGGGTTGCCAAAGCGGTGCTTCCGGTGGTACGGACTGAACCAGCCTTTAATGGAGCTGTGAATGCACACAAACAACACAAATACAGACACACATATCTCTTGTTCATTGATCCCAGGAATCCGAAACCAATAACAGATTGGAATTGATCAGATGGCAAGAGGAGAAGGAAGCCTCTTCCTGTCACCTCCCATGTTCAAAATCCCAATTTCTGATCAAGCCAGATACTGACCTCTCCTCATCCAGGACTTTGACCACCGAGTCCTTCAGCTGACCGTTGACCTGCTCCACCATCCGGTAGATCTCTGAGCCAGGAAAGGCCCCGTTGCCTTCACTGGGGAGAAGGAGGCACAAAGGCAAGGCTAATGTGGCGGACAATGCATGCCAATAAAAAGGACCCCAGTTTTGGGATTCTTTGAATAGCAGATCACTCTGTTTAAATGACCCGTGGCCACATGAAAGGACTTACATTTCACTTCTCCTCCAAAGAAAAGTGTTTAGACCAGTCTTCCGAACTCTGGCCTTCCAAGGTTTTTGGACTTCAGCTCCCAGAATCCTTTATCATTAACCAAGGCAGATGAGGCTTCTGGGAATTGAAGTCCAAGATACTCAGAAATCTAAAGTCTGGAAATCACTGCTTTGGACCATTTCGGTTGCATTGTAAAATACTTTTGGGATTACTACTACTACTACTACTACTACTATTATTATTATTGTTTATTAGTATTATATACACATATGTTATATTATAATATTATATTTATATTTTATTTATTTATATTCCTTTATCTTGAAAGGTGAATATATCAGAATGGCAAAATAATCACATATTTCTTCAAGCAACTTATTTTAGTCTCGAAGGGCCAAATTAGTGCTTTGGACCATTTCAGTTGCACTGTAAAATACTTTTGGGTTATTATTGTTATTAGAACTATTATTATTCTGATTTATTTATATTATACATATATTATAGTACTAGCTGTCCCCGCCACACGTTGCTGTGGCCCACATGGGGGTTCTGTGTGGGAGGTTTGGCCCAATTCTATTTGGGGTTCAGAATACTCTGTGATTGTAGGTGAACTATAAATCCCAGAAACTACAACTCCCAAATGTTAAGATTCTATTTTCCCCAAACTCCACCTGTGTTCACATTAGAGCATATTGAGTATTCGTGTAGAGTTTGGTCCAGATCCATCATTGTTTGAGTCCACAGTGATCTCTGGATGTAGGTGAACTACAACTCCAAAACCAAAGGACACTGCCCACAAAACCCTTCCAGTATTTTCTGTTGGTCATGGGAGTTCTGTGTGCCAAGTTTGGTTCAATTCAATCGCTGGTGGGGTTCAGAATGCTCTTTGATTGTAGGTGATCTATAAATCCAAGCAACTACAACTCTCAAATGACAAAATCATTTTTTTTTTAGTGAAGGTCATACATTGAGTTGTTAGGTGTCTTGTGTCCAAATTTGGTGTCAATTCGTCCAGTGGTTTTTGAGTTATGTTAATCCCACAAACGAACATTACATTTTTATTTATATAGATTATTTTATTTATTTATTTATTTTCCTTTATCTTGAAAAGATGGGATATAAATATCAGAAAGGCGAAATACATATTTCTTCAAGCAATTTCTTTTATTCTCCAAAGGGCCAAAACACCGCTTTGGATAATTTCAGCTGCATTGTAAAATACTTTTGGCTTATTAATATTATTATTACTATTACTATGACTATTCTTTTTGATTTATTTTAGACACACCCACATATATAATGTATATATATGACGGCCGAGCTTTAGCACAGCTGGTTAACCACCAGCTGCAGAAAATCTTGCCAATCAAAAGGTTGACAGTTCAAGCCTGGGTCAGGGTGAGCTCCCGGCCATCAGCCCAGCTTCTGTCCACCTAGCAGATCGAATACAGCAATGTGAGTAAATAAATTGGTACCGCTTTAAAGCGGGGAGGTAATTAAAAGGTGCCCATAAGGACATGCTGATGATTTGATCGGGAGGTCGTCTACGGACAACAAATCTCCTTGGCATGGAAGATGGCGCAACGGCACCTTCCCACGGCCAAAGTCGAACACAGCCTCCAGATGTTGGAGATGGGAAAAGATAGGAAAAGCCTATATCTCTGTTTATGTATTGTCTGTCCATGTCAATTGTATTACGGCATTGAATGCTTGCTCTATATGTGTGCTGTAATCCGCCTCAAGTCCCCCCAGGAAGATAGAGCAGAATATAAAGTATATTATTATATTATATTATATTGATTTATCTTAAAAGGTGGGATATAAATATCAGAACAGTGAAATGCTCACAAATCTCTTCAAGCAACTTATTTTATTCCCCAAAGGGCCAAATTTGATATTAGTCAGAAGAAGTGGAACAAAAATACCTCAAAAGTTTGAGCTTAATGCTCTTATTAAAGCCTTATTAAATCCCATCCACTAGAATTGAGGGAATGAGCTTGCCCTGTGAATCCATGAAACAATGAGGTGTTGGTTTCTGAGAATGTGCAGAGAGCCAGACTAAGATCATGAGTTCCAAGACTCATTGGCCTATAACCCCATTGCACTATGGGCAAAAAAGTGAACCCTGGATGGCCATCTCTCAGGAGGACTTTGATTGTGTCTTCACTCCTGGCAGAATGGGGTTGGACTGGGTGGCCTTTGGGGTCCCTTCCAACTCTAGGTTTCTATGGATTCTATGACCAAGGAAGCTCCATTTGGGAAGAAGATACCAAAACACAAGCAGACGCACCAAGTACCCTTGGTCAGATCCATGTTCTGGAAGCCGAGGATGGAGAGGACCTTCTTCTTGGTGGCCTCTGTGAATCCTCCTAAAGGAAAGGGAGCAAAATAAAAGTTTTGAGAGCCATACATCTCTCTATTTTGCCACCGGAAAAGGATATACAGGTCCCCAGTCCTGTGAAGTTTGAAAGTCAAGAGGATGTTGTATACTGTCTTTATTTATTGGTCAAAATATTTATATCTAGTGATGTATCCCATGATAGGCCAGGCAGGAGAATGAGCAAAATTTATAGGAATAAACAGGAGGAATAATTTAAGCAAACTTAAAAGCATTTCCAGCCTTTAGACAAGCTCAAAATTGAGAATTTCAAAATATACTTTCAAGAGGGTTAAGGGCACAGGACCCTTATAAAAGTTGGGAAATGTGATGTCTTTTTAAAATGCAGATAACATCCTTCTAGGCATTTATATAGCCCTTCTGTAAACCCAGGTCTTTGCAGGCAGAAAATTCAAAGGCATGCAAAGCTTCTTTCACAGCCCCCCCCCCCAACCTTGCACCCTGCTTCCCCACAGTGTTCCCCACGGGGTCCCCTCACCATTCACCAAGGTCTGCAGACACACCGCCAGGGAAGGGATCCCCACTGGAAGGAGCTCACAGAGAGCAGAGTAGTGGTCGTACCTGCAGGGAAGGAGGGAGAAAGAAAGGAAGAGAAAGAAAGGAAGGAAGGAAAGGAAAGGAAGGAAAAGTAAGGAAGAGAAAGGAATGAAGAGAGAGAAAAGAAGAAAGGAAGAAAAGGAAAGGAAGGAAAAGGAAGGAAGAGAAAGGAATGAAGAGAGAGAAAAGAAGAAAGGAAGAAAATGAAAGGAAGAGAAAGGAAGGGAGGAAGGGAGGGAGGGAAAGGAAGGAAAGAAAATGAAGGAAGGAAGGAAGGAAGGAAGGAAGGAAGGAAGGAAGGAAGGAAGGAAGGAAGGAAGGAAGGGGGGAGAGAGAAGCAAATGGAAGAAAAAGAAAGGAAGGGAAAGGAGGGAAGGAAAAGGAAGGAAGGAAGGGAGGGAGGGAGGGAGGGAGGGAGGGAGGGAGGGAGGGAGGGAGGGAAAGGGAAAGGGAAAGGGAAAGGGAAAGGGAAAGAAAGAGACGAAGAGGAAGGAAGGAGGCAAAGAAAGGGAGAAACAGAGAAGGGGAGAGAAAGAGAAAGGGGGGGGGGGAGGGAGGAAGAAGGGAAGGGAAAGAGAAAGAAAGAGACAAAGGGAGGGAAATGGGGGGGGGGGGAATCAACCTTTGACTTTTGGCATGAGGTATCCCCAGCCATTGCCCAACCTTTCTAACAACAACACCAACAACAACTTTATTTTTATATCGCGTCACCATCTCCCCAAAGGGGACTTGAGCCAGCTTACATGGGGACAAGCCCAAAAAACACAGAAAAAACAACAGCATTAAAATCAATCAAATAAAAACATAACACAACAACAACAACAACAACAACAACATAAAAACAATATCATGGCTGAAAACAGAATCAGAGCTGGGTCTGGGCTCAAGTAAGTGCAATGAATTCCTAAGTAGAGCTGAGGGAAAGTGCAAAACTTCAAATGTGCCAATCTAGAGGGAATATCTTTCTACAAGGTACAACCCCCCTTCAGTCCCGTTTCCCTCCCCAATGTCCCCCTGGGAACCCCCAAAGGGCCTGTCCCTTGAGAGGCAATGCCTGGGCCAATGGCACTGGGGGGGGGGGGTGTGCTGGTGCTTGCCTCTGCCACCCGGTGAGAGCGATGCCCTGGAAGCGGACGGCGGGGCTGGTGCTGGGCATGGCCTGGATGACCTTGAGCCACAGGAGGTGGTTCTGGAGGTGGGCCTCCATGGGGGGCCAGGCCTGGGCCGGACCTGAAGTGCCCTTGAAGGCGCTGGCGAACCAGACAGCCCCAAAGCCACACTCGGTGTATTTGGAGATGTACTTCCCTGCAAAGTGGAAGGTGAGAGAGAGACAGTGTATGCATAAGGTCCTCCAGTGCAATTCTATGGTATACTTCAGGCATGGGAAAACTTGGGTCCTCCAAGTGTTTTGGATTTCAACTCCCACCATTCCTAACAGCCAATATATATACACTCTGCTTTATCTCTGGTTTACCATAAAAGCATCAGCATACAATTTAAAATATACAAATATGCAAACATTAAAACAGGATTAAATGTAAACAGTATTTTAAAAAATCTCCATTAAAACATAATCAAAGTTAAAGCTCTATGGTCCGCTTCTACCTGAAGCCATTTATTGCAATAAGGATTCACTTTGTCCTGTTTGGTTTGCAGGAACACCCCCCTCGAGGATTTGGGAATTGATATTATACACATTCTGGAAATAAATAAATAGAATAAAGAATGCAAACCTATTTGTTGTGTGTCAAAATCTGGCGCATAGAACCATAGCATGGGAGCGGCCTGTTTGGCAATGCCCGACTCTGAAAAAAGGAGGCAATGCATATTTGAAAGCTAGGATGGGTGACTTTTCCCTTAACTCAAGGGCAGAGATAGGGAAAGTTCCTTTGGGGGGGGGGGGGGGATGACTACAACTCACAAAATGCTCCTCCAGGATATCCATGATATTTGGGATATCCAAACCAAGAGAAGGGATTTTCCAAGCCCCGTTAAGGATCAGAACCCCCAGGTCCAAGGACTGGGGATGGAGCCCCCAACGTCTCCATCAAGGGGTCACCTTGGATGGCAGCCACGTTGACCTTGCGTAGCATGTCGTCCCAAAGAAGGACCCGGAAGCCTTCGCTGGCGACGAAGCCGACCACTTCCCGGATGTGGTTCAGGTACATCTTGCCCACGTCTCCGCCGTTGCGGCTCAGCCAGTTTTTGGAATCTGTCCCTTCACCCAAATGGAAGACCTGAAGTGGAAGGGAGGAAGTCATAGTCCCCCTCAGAGGAAGATACTACTGCCTGGAAGTCTGGGGGAATCTCTTTCTTTGGAGGTTTTGGAGCAGGGGCAAAAAAGCCATCTGTTAGGATGTGTACTCCTGCCTGGCAAAAGGGGGTTGAACTGGATGGGCCTTGGGGTCCCTTCCAAATTTTCTATTATTACTATTACTGGAGCCCCCAGTGGTGCAATGGGTTAAACCCTTGTGCTGGCATGACTGAAAGACCAACAGGTCACAGGTTCAAATCTGGGGAGAGTGCGGATGAGCTCCCTCTGTCAGCTCCAGCTCCCCATTGCGGGGACATGAGAGAAGCCTCCCACAAGGATGATAAAACATCAAAACATCTGGGCGTCTCCTGGGTGACATCCTTGCAGACAGCCAATTCTCTCACACCAGAAGCGACTTGCAGTTTCTCAAGTCGCTCCTGATACGGAAAAAAAAAAGATTACTACTACTACTACTATTATTATTATAGAGGCTGGACAGTGATCTATTGGGACGGCTTGGATTGTGCTTTTCCTGCCTGGCAGAAAAGAGTTGGAATGGATGGCCCTTGGGGTTCCTTCCAACTTTGGGATTCTATGATTCTATAACCTACTTCTCCATGAACTTGGTAATGTGTATGAGGCTGAGTGGCCATCTATCAGGAAAGCTTGGATTGTGCTTTTCCTGCCTGGCAGAAAAGAGTTGGAATGGATGGCCCTTGGGGGTCCTTCCAAGTCTATTATTATCGTTACTACTACTACTACTACTATAGAGGCTGGAGAGCCATCTATCAGGAGGGCTTGGATTGTACTTTTCCTGCCTGGAAGAAGCAGGTTGAACTGGATGACCCCTGAGGTCCCTTCCAACTTTATTATTATTATTATTATTATTATTATTATTGAAACTCAATGGCCATCGGTCGAGACGGCTTAATTGTCTCTTCCTGCCTGACAGAAAAAAGTTAGATTGGATGGCCCTTGGGGTTCTTTTCAAGTCCATTATTATTATTATTATTATTATTATTATTATTATTATTATTATTATTATTACCACTAGTACTATTATTATAGAGGCTGGATGGCTTGGGCTGTAGTTTTCACACTTAGCAGAAGTGGGTTGGACTGGATGGCCCCTGGGACCCATTCCAACTCTATGAAATTATTATTACTATTATGTTATTGTTGTTGTTGAAGCTGTAAGGCCATCTGTGGGAATGGCTTTGATTGGAAGACCTGGAGTGGAAGGGAGGAAAGTGTTTCTGCCTGGCAGAAAAGGGATAGATTGGATGGCCCTTGGGGTCCTTTCCAACTCTGGGATTCTATTATTCTATAACACTTCTTCTCCATGAACTTGGTAATGTGCATGAGGCTGGATGGTCATCTGTGAAAAGGGCTTTGGATTGTGTACTTCTGCCTGGTAGAAGGGGGTTGGCCTGGGTGGCCTTTAGCAGACCCCTTCCAACTCTATGACCCTAAGCGAATGGATGAGCAAAAAAATTGGAAGGACTTGCACCTTCAACTCCAAACACAGAATTATAGAGGAGCTGGAAGACACACCAAAAGGGTAATCCATTCCAACTCTATTCTGCCATGCTGGGTTACGATGACCACCATTATCCCAATGTGCAACCAGTGTGTCAGAATGCATTGGAAGGCTTCGCTCCACATTCAAAGTACCTCGTCTGCCCCAATGTGGACCCAGTGGGAGCGGCGGTGCTTGCTGAGGACCTGAGTCAGGACTGCCTTCAGGAGGGCCAGGGTCTCCGGCACGTGAGGGTTGAGGCTGTTGGGGAAGCGCTCCACTTCCCGCAGGTGGCGGTACTTGTCGTGCTTCAGGATGAACTGCAAGCGGAGAAGAGGCAAATAGGTGAACCTTGACCATTCAAACAGGGGGACTCTAGGACCAAGCATTAGGAAAAGAGGGGACGCCAAGACCCAATATAGGGAACAAGAGGGGTTCTAGAATGCATTGCAGTGGTTCTCAGCCTGGGGGTCCCCAGATCTTTTGGACCCATAAGTTGATAATTATTAGAGCCGTCGCAAACTCTGTTCCTGCGGGAGCAAACCTTGCTAGCACGTCCCTGACGTCATGAGCCTGCGCCTCTCTCCCCGCCCCTTTCTCCGCCCCTTTCTCTTTGCCAGCGTGGTTTTTCCTTTGCTAGGGCAGCATTGCCCGCATTTTCTCTCAGTTGAATTCTGCCAACTGAGAGAGTATGCTGGCAATGCTGCCCTAGCAAAGGAAAAACCACTCTCACAAGGAGAAAGAGGCGGAGAAAGGGGTGGGGCAAGAGGCGGAGTCTCATGACGTCAGGGACCTGCTAGCAAGGTTTGCTCCCGCAGGAACAGAGTTTGCGACGGGTCTTACATTATAGGGAAATAGAGAATTCTAGGATCCAGCATGGAGAAAGGCAGGGCTCTAGGACCCAACAAACGTGAAAGGAGGAACTCAGGGACGTAGCATGGGGAAAAGGAGAACCTTACCACTCCACTTGCAGGAACATTGGACTCTAGGACCCAGTATGACTATAAACCTTAATACCCAGTATGACTATAAAGGGGATCTCTAGGGCCCAGTACATGGAGAGGAAGGACTCTAGGAGTCATAATGGGTGAAAAGAACCCATCATGGAGAAAGAAGGGAATTTAGGACCCAAAATGGTGAAACAAAGGACTCTTGGACACAGGTTCACAGCTTGGGTGTGATCCTGGATTCATTGCTGAGCCTGGAACCTCAGGTTTCAGCGGTGACCAGGGGAGCATTTGCATAGTTAAAACTTGTGTGCTAGCTGCGCCCGTACCTTGGGAAGTCTGACTTGACCACGGTAGTCCATGCTCTGGTTACATCTCGTATAGACTACTGCAACGCTCTCTACGTGGGGTTGCCTTTGAAGATGGTTCGGAAGCTTCAACTAGTCCAACAAACAGCAGCCAGGTTGCTAACAGGGGCGGCGCTCAGGGAGCATACAACCCCCTTGTTGCGCCAGCTCCACTGGCGGCCGGTTTGCTACCGGGCCCAATTCAAAGTGCTGGCTTTGGCCTATAAAGCCCTAAACGGTTCTGGCCCAACTTACCTGTCCGAATGTGTCTCCCCTTATGAACCATTGAGGACTCTAAGATCGTCTGGGGAGGCACGCCTTTGTCTCAAGTACGTTTGGCGGGGATGAGAAACAGGGCTTTTTCAGTGGTGACTCCTCGGCTATGGAACACCCTCCCTAGGAAGATTAGATCTGCTCCCTCCCTCTTAATGTTTCGGAGGCAAGTTAAAACATGGCTGTTCAAGCAAGCGTTTACAAATGCAGAGTAGCTAATATAGAAAATTGAACGATTTGACAATGGAACTGGACAATGCTTGATAATAATGAGATGCTAATGATGTTTTTATTGCTTTTGTGGTGTTTTGTATTGTTTAATGTTTTAATCTGTATTATGTTTTTATATGTACTGATTTGTTGGAAACCGCCTTGGGTCGCCGATTGGCTGAGAAAGGCGGTATACAAATACAGTAAGTAAGTAAGTAAATAAATAAATAAGACCCATCATGGGAGAGAAGAAGATTCTAGAACTCAGAATGGAGAATGAGGATGACTTTAGGACCCAGAATGGGGAAACAAAGGAATCTAGGACCCATCATGGGAGAGAAGACTCTAGAACCCAACATGGAGAAAGGGGTGACTTTAGGACCCAGAATGGGGAAACAAAGGAATCTAGGACCCATCATGGGAGAGAAGAAGACTCTAAAACCCAGTTTGGAGAAACTGAGAGCTTTAAGGCCCAGAATGGGGAAACAGAGGACTCTAGAACCCAGTATGCATGAGAGGCAAAGTCGCAATTGTTGGCTGGCTAACATGTGGCAGAATCAGCTTCCAGTTTTTTAATCTGGAGCTCTCCAAGGTGCTGAGCATCTGTTTCCCAAATACATATCTGTGGCACCATCAGGCTTTCTTACGAAGTTCTGACTAGAATCCGGAGCCGATCATGGTACTGATGCCATGGTGCTGGCACAGGGCCGCTGCCAAACTACAGCTGTTTGCCAATGAATAATAATAATAATAACAATAATAATAATAATWATWATTATTATTATTATTATTATTAGTTTCCTTGCAACTTGAGCGTCTGGTGAGGAATGCAGTCAGGTGGGAAATGCAAGGACTGGGGGGGGGGGGGGCTGCTCCAGGAATAGCATTGCTACCGCACCCAAAGAGGAGGAGAAACACATTCTCTTTGGCCCATAGGCCAAGGCTTCAAGCCTGTTTGCTCAGCCGCAGCCTAAGAACCAGACCGACCAGATCTAAAGCCGCAGGGCAGGATCCGGCCCTTTCTCTCACACCAGGAACCCAGAGGTGGCTGAGAGGGCATGACCCCACTGCACTAGTAGTAATAATAACAGGAACCAACCCATCTCCTGCATTTCTTTTGGGGGAATAGCAACATTCAGCCTTCAACTAACGGAGATTCTGGAGTTATATTCTCTCCTCTCAAAGCTTTCTGAGGATTCTATGATTCTATGACAAGCTGGATGAGTCTCTCTCGGGAGGGATCAGATGGTGCCCTTCCCGGCTGAAAAGTGTTGGACTGGATAGCCCCTCTTCTATGTAGTTTAGCAAAGCATTAGCCCTCTTTCGCAGAAAAAGCCCCAGGTGCATTGCCATATCTATGAGAGGTGTTCAAAGAACGGAAAAACACAAAGACAAAGGCACTCCCTGGGTCCCTTCCTAGGCTCCCTATCTTTTCCCAGCAGCGAACGCAAAGAATATCAAATAAAGTCAGTTAAGGACAAACAAATCCCTTCTATCTTACTCGATAGCACAGAGGCTGGGCTGTAAGGCCAGCAAGGACTGCAAAGCCAATGTGCCTGTTGGCTAGGGCAGCACCAATGGCATCCAGGGCACTGCCCACCAAGGAACCAATATAGAGCAGTCAAGAGGTGTGGCCGATGCCAGCATGTCAAAAATGGAACCCACAACAGCAAAAACAAAATCATCATCATCATCATATATAGTAATATATAGTATAATAAAATAATATATATTATAATATAATAATATATAATACAATTATAATATAAAGTAATACTAAGAAACCAACTTATAATAATACTAAGAAGTCAACTCTTGTAAATTTGCATTTTATCAGTGAATTTTAACCTGCATTTTAACCTGCATAATAATAGTATGCTATAATAATATACAATAATACAATAATGCATACAATATATACTAATACAAAGAGCAACAAGTCAATTTTAATTTTTAACTTGCATTTTAATCTGAATAATAATATAAAATAATATAATAATATATACTATACAATAAAATATATAATATATAATAATACGAAGAATAATAAGTGAATCTTAACTTGCATTTTAATCTGAATATAAATATATAATATAATAAAATAATATATAATACAATAATATATAATTATACAAATAATATATAATACAAATAATAATGTCAATTGTAACTTGTTAATTTAAATTAAATTTAAATAATAATGTCAATTGTAACTTGTTAATTTAAATTAAATTTAAATAATAATGTCAATTGTAACTTGTTAATTTAAATTTACATTTTAATCTGAATAATAATATATAGTATTATAATACAATAATAATATATGATAATACAAATAATAAGTCAACTTGTGAATTTTTACTTGCATATTAATCTGAATAATAATAATATATAATAAATATAATAATAATAAGTGAGTTGTAACTTGTGAATTTAAACTTTTATCAGTGAATTTTAACCTGCACGATGGTGGTGACAATAATAATAATAATAATAATAATAATAATAATAATAATTATTATTATTATTATTATTATTATTATTATTATTATTTGCCAATACATCACACAGTCCTAGACACTTGGGAAGTGTCCGAAGTGTGATCCAATTCAACAGCCAGCAGAGTGTCTGCTGTGGACTCATCTTGTTGTGTTTCAAATAATAATAATAATGGTAGACTGGTGGGCTCCCTTACCTCCGCATGTCCAAACGTTTGCACCAAGGGGATCACCTCCAGCTTGTTCAGTTCGGCCAGAGCCAGGATCCGGTCGATGTCTTCTTCGCTGCCAAGAGATAAAAGTAACCATTGCATTAACTCCAACCAGGTATAAGGCAGGGAAATGGCTGCATTTTGAATCCAATCCACATTGATTTAGGATGAACAGTGGACCGTTCCATCCTCTCTCCACATTTGGGTCTACTGAGTAGCCCTTTCTTTTGCCCTTCTTACCTGTAAGAAAAAGGAGACCTGAGGACTTCTAGTTCTCCATTGAAGGGGAACATGTCTTCGTACTCAATCAGGACCCCATTGGCTCCCAGTTTAGAGAAAAGAGGGAAGATCTGCAAAGGAGTCAAAGTCAGAGATGGCCAAGCGAAGAATTCCATCGTCTTGACAGTTAAAGTGGTGCGAAACTGCATTAATCTGCCGTTCAATGCGTCATGGAGGAGGGAGAGGGTTCCGCTAACCGGGGAGCCCCCATAGAAGTCGTGGTGGGGAGGGGGAGATACGGGAAAGGGAGACCTTTAATTCGACCTAGGGAACGGGGGCGGGGAACAACGTTAGTAATTCCAAAGCGGTCTCCTGATATGACAAGTTGGTGTAACCAGGATGGCGGTCCCTCCGGATTGAAAGTGGTGCTGTTGAACGCCAGATCTGTCAACGGTAAAACAACTTTCATCCAGGATTTAATCCTGGATGAACGGGCAGATCTGGCGTGCATCACAGAGACCTGGTTGGACGAAGCGGGAGGTGTAAATTTAACCCAGCTTTGCCCACCAGGCTTCTCTGTGCAGCACCAGCCGAGATCCGGAGGGCGGGGAGGCGGAGTTGCAGTGGTCTACAGAGATTCCATTCTTCTGACTAGGGCCCCCATCCCGCAGTCAACAAATTTTGAATGCGTCCACCTGAGGGTGGGTGACCGGGACAGATTAGGGATTCTGTTAGTGTACCGTCCACCTCGCTGCACTACAGACTCCCTGACTGAGCTAGCGGGGGTGGTCTCGGACCTGGCGTTGGAGTCCCAACGGCTGCTTGTGCTGGGGGACTTCAATGTCCAAGCCGAGACTGCCTTATCGGGAGCGGCTCAGGACTTCATGTCTACCATGGCAACCATGGGGCTGTCCCAACAGGTATCTGGCCCCACCCACAGTGCTGGACATACATTGGACTTGGTTTCTGCCAGGGATGGGAGGAAGGTGGCGGTGTTGAGGAGTTAACCATCTCTCCGTTGCCGTGGACCGACCACCACCTGGTCAGCTTTAGACTCACTGCACCCCCCAACCTCCGCAGAGGTGGAGGACCCATTAAATTGGTCCGCCCCAGGAGGCTTATGGATCCGGATGGATTCCTGATGGCTCTTGGGGAATTTCCCGCCACCTCGGTTGGTGATCCTGTTGATGCTCTGGTCGCTCTCTGGAATGGGGAGATGACTAGGGCAATAGACACGATCGCTCCAGAACGTCCCCTCTCAAGTAGCCGAGCTAAACCAGCTCCTTGGTTTACCGAGGAGCTGGCAGCGTTGAAGTGAAAGAAGAGGGAACTAGAGAGCGTGTGGCGTTCGGATCCGAGCGAGCCAAATCGAACACGGTTTGTGTCCTTTTTAAGGGCATATGCCGCGGCAATAAAGGCCGCAAAGAAAACTTTCTTTGCGGCCACTATTGCGTCTGCAAAAACCGTCCGGCTGAACTGTTCCGAGTTGTCAGAGGCTTATTAAAACCCTCCACTCAGGACGGGTGCCCTGAGGACTCGGCAGCTCGCTGTGAAGCTTTTGCTCGGTTCTTCGCAGACAAAGTCGCTTTGATCCGCTCTGGACTGGACACCATATTAACGGCAGTATCTGAGGATATAACACGAGCATCTGCTTGTCCGGTTTTGATGGATTCATTTCAATTGGTTCAATCCGAGGATGTGGACAAGGTGCTTGGAGGAATGAGAGCTACCACATGCATCCTAGACCCCTGCCCATCCTGGCTTCTAAAGGAGGCCAGAGGGGGATTGGCCGAGTGGGTGAAGGTGGTGGTTAATGCCTCCCTTCGGGAGGGCAAAATTCCAGCCAGCTGAAAGCAAGCTGTGATAAAACCGCTGTTGAAGAAACCATCACTGGACCCCACTCAATTCGTCAACTATCGGCCTGTTTCCAATCTCCCCTTTTTGGGCAAAGTCATGGAACGTGTGGTGGCCTCACAACTCCAGGCATTCTTGGTAGACACGGATTATCTGGATCCGGCACAGTCTGGCTTTAGGCCGGGGCATGGTACTGAGACAGCCTTGGTCGCCTTAGTGGATGATCTGCGTCGGGAGCTCGACAGGGGGAGTGTGTCCCTGTTGGTGCTGCTCGACCTCTCAGCGGCCTTCGATACCGTCGACCACGGTATCCTTCTGGGACGCCTCGCGGGGATGGGGTTGGGAGGTACTGTTCTGCAGTGGCTCCACTCATTCCTCGAGGGCCGGTCTCAGAAGGTGTTACTGGGAGACTCCTGTTCAACCCCACAACCTTTGTCTTGTGGGGTTCCTCAGGGTTCAATACTGTCTCCCATGTTGTTTAACATCTACATGAAGCCGCTGGGCGAGATCATCCGGAGTTTCGGAGTGAGATGTCATCTGTACGCAGATGATGTCCAGCTCTTGTCACTCCTTTCCACCTGCTACTAAGGAGGCTGTCGAGGTCCTGAACCGGTGCTTGGCCGCTGTGACGGTCTGGATGAGGGCGAACAAATTGAAACTGAATCCAGACAAGACAGAGGTACTCCTGGTTAGTCGTAAGGCCGAACAGGGTATAGGGTTACAGCCTGTGTTGGATGGGGTCGCACTCCCCCTGAAGACACAGGTTCGCAGTTTGGGTGTGATCCTGGACTCATCGCTGAGCCTGGAACCCCAGGTTTCGGCGGTGACCAGGGGAGCATTCGCACAATTAAAACTTGTGCGCCAACTGCGACCGTACCTTGGGAAGTCCGACTTAGCCACGGTAGTCCATGCTCTGGTTACATCCCGCCTTGATTACTGCAACGCTCTCTATGTGGGGTTGCCTTTGAAGACAGCCCGGAAGCTCCAACTAGTCCAACGGGCGGCAGCCATGGTACTAACAGGAGCGGGGCGCTGGGAGCACACAACTCCTCTGCTGCACCAGCTCCACTGGCTGCCGATATGCTACCGGGCTCAATTCAAAGTGCTGGTTTTGGCCTTTAAAGCCCTAAACGGTTCTGGCCCAACTTATCTATCCGAACGTATCTCAGCCTATCAGCCCGCCAGGACCCTAAGATCTTCTGGAGAGTCCCTGCTCTCTATCCCACCGGCTTCCCAAGTGCGGCTGGTGGGAACGAGAGACAGGGCCTTTTCTGTGGTGGCCCCTCGGCTTTGGAACACCCTCCCTATAGAGATACGATCAGCCTCTTCGCTGATGGTGTTTCGGAAGAGATTAAAAACATGGTTGTGTAAACAAGCATTCGGTTAGTTTGTTATCACCGAATTTTATGGACTAAGGACTGGTTAATTATGGATGACGAATTCTGGACTGTGATTTTAGTGACGAGATACATGGTATTATTATTGGTGGCCCAATAATTTGTATTGTCTATGTGTTGTTGTTTTAAATTGTATATTGTTTTTAATTGTTGTAAACCGCAATGAGTCGCCGACTTAGGCTGAGATATTAGCGGTATACAAGTGTATTAAATAAATAAATAAAATAAAATTAGATGCACCTAATGTTTGCTCTGGGGAGGAAAGGCAGGAGAGTCCCAATCCTTCCTGATCCATAAGCAGCAGAAGGCACTAGCAACTGGTTTTCCTTCAAGAAAACCCATTTTTGCCCCTTTTGGGGGCCTATTCAATTGTGCACATTCATGCACAAGATAGTTTATTTAATAATAATAATAATAATAATAATAATAACTTAAAATTATTGTTATTCTTATTGTTCAGGTTTCCTCTCTTCAAATGAGATTTAAGGTGCCTAAAACACCAAAAATAATACCAATTACAATTTAAAACCTATACCACAGAAAGAGTATAATAATAATTTATTTGATAAATATTAAGACACCCACTAGCCCATGAATGGAGCCCCCGGTGGCGCAGTGGGTTAAACCCCTGTGCCAGCAGGACTGAAGACTGACAAGTCGCAGGTTCGAATCCAGGGAGAGGCGGGTGAGCTCCCTCTATCAGCTCCAGCTCCTCATGTGGGGACATGAGAGAAGCCTCCCACAACGATGATAAAACATCAAATCATCTGGGCGTCCCCTGGGCAACGTCCTTGCAGATGGCCAATTCTCTCACACCAGAAGCGACCTGCAGTTCCTCAAGTCGCTCCTGACACACACAAACAACCCCATGAATTATTCGATGATTAATAATAGGATCTCATATAAATTAGAAATTTTGTATAGATTTTAATATATAAATAAATCATCACACACATATATATTCACATTTATTTTTTATATATGCATATTTATTTATCTTATATTTATAAACAAACACACACACATACATGGTATTATATTTGAACACACACCTATACATGAACAACATAAGCATGTAATTTATACAAAATTATACCATTTATTTATTTAGTCAATTTTCTGGCTTTGACCATTTGTAACTGCTCAATTTTCTAATCATCACCATATATATGTATGTACATAACATAAAAATAAATTGTGAGGTTGATTAGATGAGGAGGAAGAGGGAGGGAGGAAGAAGAAGAAGAGGAAGAGGAAGGGGAAGAGGTAGAAGAAGAGAAGGAAGAGAAAGAAAGGGGAATTTCACAAGACTGGCTCCCCACTTAGGCTTGCAATGGGGCTTACCTGCTCCAGGTAGGGCACTTTGGGGGCGGCCCCTTTGAGGTCCAAGTGCACCAGGCGCATGAGGGTTGAGGCGGGTCCTTGGAGGGGCAGCTTCCTGGTCTCGAGCCGGGCCTCGGCTCCTGCACCCCCTTTGCCCCCCCAGAGCTCCAAGGAGGGATCCCTGGCCTTGGCGGACTGAGGAGGGTCCCCCGCGTTGCCCCAAAAGCCATCCTCCGCATTGGAGCTCTTGCGCCGCTCCAAGGACAAGCTGCAAAAGAGAGGCGAGAAGGAAGGTTGGGTTGCAGGTCAAGCAAGGGGCCTATGGACAGCTGGACACAAAGGGGAGCCCTTTGCTGAAGTCCCTCCTGGTGCGAGGCCAGGCATTTCTTCCAGGAAGTCACCATCCAAACCCACCCAACAGGTGGCCATCCAACCTTTATGAAGAAACCTCCAGAGAAAGAGACTTCACCAGATTCCATGGCAATCTATACTCAACTATATTTGAAAGGGTCCCCCAAAAGCTGGAGGGTTGCTAATGAGCCATTGTGTGCCCATTTGCACCTGCTCTGTGCTCATTTTACACCTGTTTTTGCACCCATTGGCGCCTATTTTGTATTTGTTTCGCACCCATCTTGCGCCCATTTTGCATCCATTTTGAACCCATTTTGCACCAGTTTTGCGCCCATTTTGCATTCGTTTTGCACCCATTTTGCATTCGTTTTTCGCCTGCTTTGCTCTCGTCTTGCCCCCACTGTGCGCTCATTTTCCACCTCTTTTTGCAACCATTTTGTACTAGTTTTGCAGTCATTTTGCATATGTTTTGCACCTATTTGAATTTGTTTTGTAAACATTTTGCACCTGTTTTGCAGTCATTTTGCTTAAGTTTTAAGTTACAGTAGAGTCTCGCTTATCCAACCTTCGCTCATCCTACATTCTGTATTATCCTATGCAGTCTGCCTTCTGTCCGGAATAATGTCCAGGGTGGGAGAAAGAAAGAACCCTTGTCTGTTTTGGTTCTAAATATGTAATAGCGTAATTACTCCATAACATTACTGTGTTCTGAACTGCTTTTCCAGTCAATTTGTTGCAAAACATGATGTTTTGGTGCTTAATTTGTACAATCATAACGTAATTTGACTTTTGATAGGTTTTTCCTTAATCCCTCCTTATTATCCAACATTTTATCTTATCCAACGTTCTGCTCATTTTGCACCTGTTTCTGTACACATTTTGCACCCCCCCTCCTGTTTTGCACCCATTTTGCACTCACCTGTCACGGAAGAAAAACTTGATGCCTGCCAGGACCACTGTCAGAAGGACCACCAGTCGCAAGAGGTTAAGCTTCTGGCTTCGGTGGAGCGCCATCCCTGCTGAAAAATAGACGACAGCAAAAAGGATTGTAGAATTATTATCATTATTGCAGGTTGAGTATTCCTTAACTGGAAATTCCCAAAGTCTCCCCATCTGTGGCTGAGAGAGCAGCCCCTTTCCTTTCTGCTGGTTCAATGGAAGCAAATGGTTGATTCATCCACAAAATTATTCCATAAAAATAATTCTGCGCATAAATAACTTTCAGCCGGAAGGTGTGTTTTCATACATATATGAAACATTAATATATTTAATGGTCAGATTTGGGTCCGCTTTCTTCAAGACATTGCATGATATACATTGCAAATATCTGAGGAGGAAAACCAATAATATTTCTGGTCCCAAGCATTTTAGGGCGCTCGACTTGCAACCATGGCTTTACTAATGGTACTTTTGGCACAAGTTTGGAGTAAAAACCAGAGTGAAACATCACAGGAAATAGCATTATTATTATTATTATTATTATTATTATTGACAGGATTATTATTATTAGGGACAGGATTATTATTATAATTATTGCTATTATTTCTGGACAGGATTATTATTATTTTAATTATTATTTTAGGATATTATTATTATTACTATTACTATTATTATTATTATTATTATTATTATTATTATTATTATTATGGACAGGGTTATTATTATTGCTGCTATCATTTCTGGACAGGATTACTATTATTTCTGGTTTATTATTACTATTATTATTGTTGCGATTATTTCTGGGCTTTAGATATCATGAGAAAGAATTTATTCCATTTTCTCTTGTGCATTAACCAAGATACTCAGCAAGGGGATCATAAATCATTTATTAATATTAATAGTAGAACACAGCACAGAATTACAATCACTATACAAGCTATTCCTATTTCCCAGCTTCTCTGCTACAGAAGAACACTTTCAAATTAAACACAAATGTCTTTTTTGTGAGGATAATGGGATGTTCAATGCCTGCCTCATTCGGGATCGACCTTCCTTCCTTCCTGCTAATTGCATAAAGTCCGACAGATGTTCGTAACGATTAATGCAACAGGAATAAAAAGGGAGAGAAAAAGCCAAATGCAGTTTTTCCCCTCCTTCTTTTTCTCGGATGGAAGGATTATTTTACTTATGAGACAAAGCAGGATTACAGGCGGCCTTCATTCCTGCCAACAATTGCTTCTGGAGTCAATAATAATAATAATAATAATAATAGTAATAATAATAATAATAGCACATTTACTTATCAGCCTCTTCTAGAGCATAGTAAAAGTGTATAGATAGAAACATAAAACCTCTAAAACCTGGAAACACATTAAAATCATTGCTATCACTAAAATGCCATTATAAATTCAAAAGCTTGAAGTTTAAAATTCACTCACTCAATGTGTGTGTGTGAGAGAGGACTGTTTTGATTCTCCTTTGGAAGAGAAGAATCAGGATATTATTATTATTATTATTATTATTATTATTATTATTATTATTATTATTATTATTATTAGAGACACAACAAGATGAGTCCACGACACACAAGATCACTCTGCTGGCTGTTGTATTGGATCACATGTCAGACACTTCCCAAGTGTCTAGGACTGTGTGATGTATCGGTGAATAATGCGTGCAGATTCCAGTAAGGTGGCCTTTTGCAGCTGGCAGATGGTAATTTGGTCAGTGCGGATTGTGTTTAAGTGCAGACCAAGGTCTTCAGGCACTGTACCCAGTGTGCCGATCACCACTGGGATCACCTTTACTAGCTTGTGCCAGAGTCTTTGAAGTTCGATCTTTAGATCCTCATATCGTGTCAGCTTTTCCAGTTGTTTCTCTTCAATCCTGCTGTCACCTGGGATTGCAACATTGATTATCCATATTTTGTTTTTTAATACAATTGTGAGGTCAGGTGTATTGTGCTCCAAAACCCCGTCTTCTTCCTCTTCCTCTTCCTCTGCTTCTTCCTCTGCTTTATTTCTCCCAAAGGGAGACTCAAAGTGGCTTAGCATGTAATTTGAAATATACACATATGCAAACATTAAAACAGGATTAAATATAAACAGTATTTTAAAATTCCCAGTTTTTTATTTATCGTGTCAGAAGCAAATTGAGAATACAGTTATAATGTGTACACAAAGTTAAAAACTTGGCGTTACAATATATTTCCTTTGACCAGAAGTTGGCCACTTGGAGTGCTTCTGGTGTCGCTGTGAGAAGGTCCTCCATTGTGAATGTGGCAGGGCCCAGGTTGCATTGTAGTAGATGGTCTGTGGTTTGCTCTTCTCCGCAGTCCCATGTCATGGATTCTTTGTGGCCCCATTTCTGGCATCTCGTGGTGCCAGAGTGCAGTGTTCAGTGTCTTCCAGGTTGCCCAGTCTTCTCTGTGCCCAGGAGGGAGTCTCTCATCTGGTCTTAGCCACTGATTGAGATGCTGGGTTTTAGCCTGCCACTTTTGGACTCTCACTTGTTGAGGTGTTCCTGTGAGTATCTCTGCGGATCTTAGGAAGCTGTTTATTGATTTAAGGTGTTGGCATGCTGGCCAATATCCAAACAGAGGATGGGTTGGAGATGTCACCTCCTTTTACTACAAACTGCTACTTCCCGGCAGATGTCAGGTGGTGTAATACTGGCTAAATATTATAATTCCTCCAGTGGTGTTGCTGAGTACATCTCACCGTGTTGAAACAGTGGATGTGGCTCTTAATAAGCCATGCCGCATTATCACAGGATGTCTACGCCCTATACTGCTGGAGAAATTACACTGTTTACTGAGCACAGAGATGATGGGCAACCTGGAAGGTGCTGAACAGACTGAACTCTGGCACCATGAGATGCAGAGCCAATCTTAAGAAATGGGCTTCAAAGTGGAGTCCACAACATGTGAGTGTGGAGAAGAGCAAACCACAGACCACATACTACAATGCAGTCTGAGCCCTGCCACATACACAATGGAGGACCTTCTCACAGTGACACCAGAAGCATTCCAAGTGGCCAGCTTCTGATCAAAGGACATTTAGAATAACGCCAAGTTTTAAACTTTGTTTGTGGTGTTTTTATACATTAAAACTGTATTCTCAATTTGCTGACACGATAAATAAAATAAATATGATTAGGGATCAGCCAGGCTCTGTGTGAATCCAAGACTAAAACCAGAAAATGTAATAATAATAATAATAATAATAATAATAATAATAATAATAATAATAAGCACGTCAAACTACTCTGGGACTTCCGAATTCAGACTGACAGAGTTTTGGAGCACAAGACTCCTGACCTCATGATCGCGTTAAAAAACTAAGTATGAATCGTTGATGTTGCAATCCCAGGCGACAGCAGGATTGAAGAGAAACAACAGGAAAAGCTGACACAATACGAAGATTTAAAGACTGAACTGCAAAGACTTTGGCAGAAGCCAGTAAAGGTTGTCCCAGTAGTGATGGGCACACTGGGTGCAGTGCCTAAAGACCTTGGCCTGCACTTAAACACAATTGGTGCTGACCAAATTACCATCTGTCAGGTGCAAAAGACCACCCTACTGGGATCTACACGCATTATTCGCTGATACATCACACAGTCCTAGACACTTGGGAAGAGTCCGACATGTGATCCAATTCAATAGCCAGCAGAGTGATCTTGTTAACTGTGTACTCATCTTGTTGTGTTTCTAATAATAATAATAATAATAATAATAATAATAATATGCACATAGCCTAAATGGTCATTTTATGCAAAGTATTTCAAATAATTTTGTGCAAGAAAATACATTTATGGGCTTTGAACCATTCGAAAGCAAAGGTGCCGCTCTCTCATTCAGCTCCATACAGACCCATCTTTCATTAAAAACTATAATCTCTTGCACTGCTTTACACAAAAAAGGTTTGGAAGGATAAGGATATGATTAATTTCTCAAAAAGCAAATAAGGGAGTGACAGAGACTAATGCTACGCCTCAAAGGTAAATCTCCAAATAGGCTGGGTGCATTCTTTCTAGGTTTTATGGAAACGTGTCACCCAGAGGCTGGGAAATTAATTCCCAATGAATTGTTGTTTGCTGGAGTTCTCATGGGGAGCCCTCTCAACACGGTCATAGCAAATTTCTACATGGATCACTTTGAAAAACAAACCCAGGGACTTCATCATAGTAGGGCATAGATTCACTTTAAATCCAGTTTCTGCCTCCTGCAGAATTCTGGGGCTTGTAGTTTAGGGAGGGATCTTTATACTGTTCAGCCAGAGAGATACTAGTAAAGGTAAAGGTTTTCCCCTGACATTAAGTCCAGCCATGTCTGACTCTTGGGATTGGTGCTCATCTCCATTTCTAAGCCAAAGAGCTGGCATTGTTTGTAGACACCTCCAAGGTCATGTGACTGGCATGTCTGCATGGAGCGCTGTTACCTTCCCACCAGATCCACCTATTGATCCACTCACATTTGCATGTTTTTGAACTGCTAAATTGGCAGGAGCTGGGGCTGACAGCGGGAGCTCACGTCGCTCCCCGAATTCAAACCTGCAACCTTTTTGGTCAACAAGTTCAGCAGCTCAGCAGTTTAACGCATTGCGCCACCGGGCCCCCCCTGGGCCTCACTAAACTACAAATCCCAGAATTCAACAGGAGACAGAAATTGGATTTAAAGTAGATCCATGCTCTCTAGTGTGATGCTGCTGCTAGAAACCGCCAATAAAAAGCCCAATATATGGTTCAGATATGTGGATGGCACCTTCACCATTTGGAGCCATGGAGAAGAAGAACTAAATAAGTCCCTGGACCACCTCAGCAGCATCCACCCAAACATCCAATTCATCATGGAAAAAGAAAATGAAGGGAAACTGCAATTTCTCGATGTCCTAGTCATCTGCAAACCAAATTAACAATTGGGCCCCATAGTTTACAGCAAGCCTACACACAGCTAGATACCTACATAAAAACTCCTACCATCACCCAAGTCAAAAAAAGAAGCACAATTAAAGCCCTGGCAGATGGTGCAAAATAATCTGTAAACCCCACCTCCTCCAAGACGTACCGAGCTACCCAAACT